CACGCTGGAGTTTTATATAACATATCTATAATAGCTGGTATATCCTCTAATGCACAGTAAGAAATGAATATATATTAATTCCCATTGCTTTCATCAAGTACTATTTTTCCCATGCCAGGATTTACTCAATCAAATGATACTTAAAAATTATTTCAAAAAAACTTCTTTTCTTGAAGCTATTTATAGTGTTCTAAGAGATGTTATGGTATTTATATACAATTTGGAATGATTAACTAAGGCTGATCAACATAGCCAATAGTTTAATAATTATGATTTTTTATGCTCAGAGCATCTGAAATTTGCTCTTAGCAATTCTGAAATATACAGTACTATATGATTAGTGTGATGTATACACACTACTAAGTATGATCAGTGTCATGTACAATAGATATCAAATATCTTATTTCTCTTGTCTAGCTAAAACTTTGCACCCTCTGACCAACATCTCCAAATGCTCCTAAATCCCTAGCCTGTGATAACTACTGTTATACTCTATATCTACAACTACAGTGGTTTTTAATTTCCCACATAAGTAACAATTTATATTTGTTCTTCTGTGCCTGGCTAATTTCGCTTGACACAATAGACCCTGGTTCATCCAGGCTGCTGCAAATGACAAGATCTCTTTTTTTATTTGGTTTAGCTAAAAAAAAAATTATATATATATATATATATATATATATATATATATATATAGTACTAAAATACATATCACATTTTCTTTATTCAAACATTGATAGACGCAAGTTGGCACTAGACTATTATTAATAATGCAGCAATAAAAATGGAAATTCAAGCAACTACTTAGCACCCTGAACTCTAGTCCTTTGGAGAAACACTAGCATAGGATTCGTAGACAGAGTTTAAGTGCCAATGACAGCCTGTTCTATTCAGGTCCAAAGCATGGAGAATGCTCTCCTCTCCTAGCAGCACATCCTCTTGAAGCCAGGGACCGTTGGCCTCAGGCAGAAGATTCAGTCTTGGTCTTGCCTGGGATATTGTTCTTCCATCTTTCACTGTCCACAACCTCAAAGGTTTCATGAGATTCCTAACAGACTTATTTCAGTATTATTTTTCTTAGGTCACTTTGGCTACTGGTTATTTTCTACCCTATCTATAGAGGACAAAACTGGCAGGACATATCCAAAGAAAGCTAGGCCAGAGCATTCCACTAGGCAAGGCACTGTCTGTTCTCAGAAACACAGGTGTTGCTCCTAAGCTCAGAGCCCACCCTCTGAGAGGACACTCAGCATCCTGATTCATTTCAGCCTGTCCTTTTTAGTCATTGCTAACAGCAAGGTCTCTGAGTTGGAACTCCATGATTGATTATCCAGCCTGTAATGACCACTTAAGTGAGAGTGACCACATCTACAACAGGACTAGAAAGCAGCATTCTCTCATCCACTAAAAAATGAATTATCTTCAGGTGAATACTGTGTGTTAGGCAGTAGATGCACAGAAAAACAGCCTGTTATGTAATGTCTGTGGGTTCTCTCATTTTATATGCCACTTTCCTTGTGTGAGATTGTTGGTTTATATCTGGGCTTGAAAGCCACAAACACCAAACTAGTCTTGCTCTGAAAATAATATTTACTTGAAGTGTACGTGCCACAAATACTGCCATGTGCCACAGGTTTCAAGTCCATTAGCAGAGCAGACCTAACAACAGCAGCTTAGGGGTCTATAATGAACAAGTCAGAGCTCAGCAGGGACAGGTGGAAGATGACGAGGACAGACAGCATAAGCAAGGAGGTTTTGATCTGACACGTATGCCTTGGTGCACAAACTTGGACATGAAAAGTTGGAGCAATCTCTTGGATCGATTACTAGTCCTGGGCTGGTGTCAAATTTAATGCATGTTACACTAGTAACAAGCCTGGCCACATCCAATAGTGAACAAAATTAGGGAAGTTTGCACAAACCGAAAACATCCTCTAATCTCAAGGTATAGTGCTCAGCCTGATTAGATCACAGTGTGCTGCCCTGGCCTCTTTAGGTAGCCAAAGAGCCATTACTCCTCAGAGGTCTTAGCCAATCTGGGCTTTGCTGCAGAAAACGTGTGGGTTTCAGTCATGAGTCAACATGTATCTCTTCCTCATCATTGCATTATTTAAGGCTGGTCAAATTATTTATCTCTGTAATTATGGTCCCCAAAGAAATATCCCTTCATACCTTGGCTTCGAAAGAACTCTGTGGTGAGTATATAAACAAGGAAAACAGATTGCCAGTCAGCACACAGCTCTGCTTCCGCTTCTGAAAACAAACTGATGAGGCACAAGCATAAGAATAACTCTACTTTTTGTATAACACCTAAGAACAGAATGACAAGAGAAAAAAATATGCATTTCAAAAATACACAAAACTAATATGCAAATTTTTCATTGTATTTATTTATATGCATACCTTTTATGGCTAGCATACATGAGCATAGAAAGTGTCATAAGTCTGTTGTGATTAATCAAAATATAAAAAGCTAATTTAAATTACTTTCACACAACCAGTTAGCCCCACAAACCAGAGATGGGCCCTGACCTCCTAATATTTGATTCCGTTGTCTTTCAGCCAGGAGAAAAGGTCTGCATCAGAACCTCAGGACCTTCTGACAACCACCCAAGGAAAAGTTTTGAATCTCCCAACCAAGGTGTTTTTCTAACTCTGTTCAGTAAACTCTGTGGAAAGAGAATTCCCAAGCAGCCAGCCATCTCCAAAGCATCTTCCTTCACGGGGAGTGTAGGAAAGTTCTCAGCTCCCACTTCCCACAACTATAGGTCATTTTGGTAAATTACTTAATGCGTTCTCTAACCTACAGCCAAGGACCATTGTCCAACTCCTAGAGATTATTATTCCAAAACCTATGATCTGGATAACTGTGCACCACTGACCCTATGATCTCAAACCTGGCCTTAGTCAGATCCCCTCATTCAACCCAGTATGAAGGACTGTACGGTGCTACCTGTGCCTGCTTGCTATCTTCAGAGATGCAGAATGAGCTTGCCTAGGTGCTATGCTCTAACTACCACACATACTTGCATGCAACCCAAAAAGGGTGACCTTAGGATGCTGTTTCCAGCATAGTAGGTAATGCAGACTAGAAACAAAAGCACCCAGCTTAGGTGGATGCACAGTCCCTAAATCAGATGAATGAGGATCATAACCATCAATAACATAACAAATAAGTCATATATACTTTGGGGAATGTAATTTATGAAGTAAAGAATCAAAAAGAAACAAAGGTTTCAAAGAAATTTGCCTTTCACTTTCTTCAGTGTCAGTGAGCAAAATGTTCAATATTTAATGAGCTTGAAATACGTAACAAGGCAAGCACTCAGGAAGGAGTGATGGGTCATGGAATTGACCACACAAAAAAAAGAAAAGTCTTCACTGAGTTGATTAAAAAAAGTTTACCTAATGCAAACATGACTGAGTTGGATTAAAAGGGTCATCAAAGACATTACTTTGAGTAGAGGCTATTTCCCTTAGAACTCATCCCTGCAGACACCTATGACTTAAAATTCACCTTAGATTTCCAGACACACAAGCATCTTTTCACTTTTGTGACTCAACACATTACCTGAAGCCATAAGAATTTTCTCCAGCAGAGACCAGCAAGAGAGCAGGCTCAACCCTAAAAAGAGGAAAAGGTAATAGATTCACAGACAACACTGAACCAGTCCCAATGAGAATCAGCAGTGGAATGATCTAGGCTCCTGAAGTGCAAAACCTGAGTGCCAACATTCATTCCACACAGATCCTCTGAGAGTCTCAAGCAAGACTAAGCTCCTGTTGACTGGCATCCACTGAAAAAAAGGGAAATTGGGACATAAAGACACATAGAGCCTCACCATGTGATGATAGATACAGATGGGAGGTATGTATTCACAAGCCAAGAAGTGAAAACAACTGCTGACGGAATGGCCTTAGATCAAGAATGTCTACCCAAAAGCTCTTGCATTCAGAGGTGGTCATTAGGAAGACTATTTTCTGGGATCACAATATGCTAAATAATGAACATCTAAGCAAATACCTTACTCATTGCAACAGAGTAAACAATGATTTATTATGATACAGTGAATTTTGTTTCCTAAACTTTTCTTCTTAAGAAAAATCCCAGACTATTTGTCATGGTATATGTCTGTGGCCCCCAGGCCTCATGAGTTTTCCTTGTGCACTTCTGATGGTTCACTGTCTAGTGCTTTGATTGATGGTGTCAGTGCTTCACTCATATAGGGGTGGAGCCAGGTTGTGATGTAATGGCTGGAAGAAGGTGTTCTTTTCTGGTTCCTGCTTGCTGTTTGCAGATTCCATGAACTGCAGCCCAGCCATGCCTGCTTGCCTTGGAGCCAACTGAGTGTGGACTGAAACCTCCAAAAAATGTAAAAAATAAACCTTTCCTTTCCCAACTTGGGCTTCAAGTATTTTGTCACCACAACAAGTAATAAGTAGCTAAGATTTATTCATATTTAAAGAAGGTATTCTAGTCATTTCAAAAATCTGAGGCTATGATTGTGGCCAAGTAAGAAACTGTTACTGTTTAACAGAATAACATACTGTCCATTTTCATATGTGCTTAGGAGGAGTCTGGTTTTATCCCATATTACTAAGTCAGCTTTACCACTACATTTGCCACCTTGTTCTCTAAGCACAGATTTTAAGTCCACTTTAGCCAACTATCAGCCTTTGATGGAAGGACACATCTACCTTTCCTCCTTGGCTCTAGCCTGCTAAGTAATTGTTCACAATCTTCACAGAATGAGAAAAGACAAAAGAGCTGTGAAAAGGAGCCATGCTTGGTTCAGTTCAGACTCTAGACAGGTTCTGTATTCTCTGCCCTTCTACTAGCTGCATGCACCACTACCCCTACCTCTTGAGCTTTCTTCTTGCTGTGCCTTGTGAGTCAGCCACAGAGCAGTTAGAGGTGACAGTGTCATATTCACCTAAACCAATTCAGATAATGTTCATAACGCTCCCTAGAAAGATGACACCCACTGAAACCAGAGGAGCACATATGTAAGATATCAGCAAGGTCACAGGGCTTGTGGCTCATTCAAGGTGCTGCAGGGGCTCTGTCTGCTCTGACCTGGGCAGCCTTCCTGGCAAAATGACACCACTTCTACTCCTGCTGGCCTTTCTGCTGCCTTTGAGGATGGAAAAGGTGAGTGGCCATCCTTATTCCAGAGGTCTGAGCTCATCCCACAAAATCTTCTCCACTACTGACTTTTTGTTAGCTTTGGTCTGGAACCTTCACCTTGCTTTCACCCAGGAGTTTTCTAACCACAGATCCAATTCAAACCCAGACTTACAATTCCAAAGCTGGCTGGACACATTCCAGGGTTTCAAAAGAGGGTGTTCTCAAATGATTTAGTATGTGTTAGCCTCTCCACAGAATTTCCTGCATTATCCAGAAATGAGTTGTCCTCAGAAAAACATTTAAAAAACAAAAATCAAGAACACATAAAGCAGTGAATGTGAAGCAACAAAAGTAAGTAATTAAACTATGTTACTCAAAACCAGAACAAGGCAGCTTAGATCAACAGCTCATGGGAGGTGGGTTTCACAGACCCAGTTGCACTATCCAGTGACTACCACCCAGTCCCAGCTCTGAAGAGAATCTAAGGGTTCAGCTAGACTCAGAGGTGGTATGATGATTGCATCCACTTTTCCATTACCCTGGCTCCACCTTAGGTCTTTGCAGCTTCACTCTAATGATCTTTCCTACATCTGCCTTGCTGGCTTTCCATGTGGCCCCTGCCTTGGGTACTATTCCCTCCTCCTAAAGTTTTATTGCCCTCTATGCCACCACACTACACTGGCCCATCAAGCACTGAGGAACTTTGATTAGACATCAGATATACAGCCTAAAACAATTCTTGAGAACACAAAATATTTTAGGCCTAGATCATCATTTGAACGTGGGTTCATAATTCTATAGGTAGATTGTTAGAAAGTGCCACCAATCCAGAAAATAACAAAAGTTTAAACAGATTTGTAAGTTTCAGTAAGAAAACAACAATGAAGTCAGCTGCCCAGTGTCCTATGAAACTCAACCATCAGTCATCCCACTTCCACGCATTTGTTCCAGGTAGGAAGGAGAAGGCCAGAACTATCCTGACTTTCTCAGAACATTTGAGATTTAGAAAAAGTCTGGCTTTGATCATGCAGCCTGCAGAAATAAGATAAGTACCCCCTGCAGGGTACAGAGCACTCCAGGTCTCACCATCACCCCTCATTTCCCCAAGTCTTCTTTCGTGACCACACTGCTCCCAGCCACCCCATCTTAAGCTTTTCTTTCAGAGGAGGTCATCGGGGGTCAGGAGGGTAAGCCCCATTCCCATCCCTATACGGCCTTTGTCCAGTTCCTGGATGGAGAGAAGATGAAGAGGTGTGGTGGTGTCTTGGTGCAAAAGAGATTTGTACTGACAGCTGCATACTGCAAGGTAAGGTGAGGAGGGACAACCAGCCCACATTTGCCAAAAACCAACAGGGACTTCTGTCTCCCACAGTAACTGCAGTCTTAGGAACTCCTGGGGTTCACAAACCCATAAGAGGTCATTAGAAAGCAGGAAAGGGAGGAAGATCAAAAGTTTCAGCACAGTATCTGAATGTATGGTAATTAACTATATCAAGCTTTCTAAGATAAATAAACGATTCTGAAAGTGGAAAAATGAAAGGGAGATGAAGGAAGAGGAGAAAAGAAAGAAACTGAATGTGTTATTAACATGTACTAAACTCTTACAGTGGATGTACTCCTTGTGTACTGCACATATGTAGGAATAAAATTCAAAAAATGTTACTCTCTAGTCGTGATAAGTTAAATAGTTAGTGAGATCCTGTTTCAAAAATAAAAATAAATTTAAAAGGACTGAAATATTTAGCTCAGTGAAAGAAAAAGTGTTCCATCTCAATCGCCTTCAAGAAGGAAAGAAGACTTGGAAAAGGAAAGGCTGAGAAATAAAAGAGGTAAGTTTGAAATCAGACAGTGAGAGTACAGAACAAATGACACAGGTGACAAGACATAGCAACCACACATAGCAGGTTTAATCCTTCTTTGCATAGCTCCTCTGTGGTCTCACAACCTAAATCCATGCTCCTCTCTGTGCAGCTCAATAAGTGTCATCCTGGTGGCCCACAATATCCAGAAGCAAGAGAAGACCCAGCAGGTAATCTGTGTGAAGAGAGCCAATCCACACCCAGAATAAACTCCTAAAACCTTCTCCAATGACAGTATGCTGCTGCAAGTGAGGCAAATCTTCCTGCTGCTCTTTCTCTTCTCCTACAGGGTTGTCGATCCCAGAGGGTCCCTGCTCTTTTCCACCTTGCCCTCATTGTGATCTCAGTATGTAGGTACAGAAGGCATAGGGTCTATGCTAGAGGCTAATTTAGACTATCCTGATTATTCACCATCAGCTGGAAAGAAAGGCCAAGCAGACTAAAGCTGTGCAGCCCCTCAGGGGGCCATGAGCCAAGAGAATTCAGGAGACAAATGCCTGGTGGCAGGCTGGAGAAAATCAACCCACTGGGTCTCTTAGCAAGCACACTGCAAGAGGTGGAGCTAACAGTATAAGACAAACAAAAATGTCAATCTTTCATGCACGCCTACTCTACTCTCACTGACATTTGTGTGGGAGATCCAAGGAAAACAAAGACTGGTTTCAAGGTAAGGTTTCCATTGCCTATAGTTAGAGAACCCAGGGAAACAGGAACTTGGTGGGGAGATCATAGTGTCTGTATCTCATGCTCTGAGTCCAGAGCTTGAAGGCCTGTCCTCTACAGCAATGCAGTGTGTAATCCATTCCCTGGATAGAAAGGAGTAGAGGGTGGAGAAATAGCAGTACACCGAATTCAGTGTCATCACTTGAGTATCTCTAGGATTGCACAAAAAGGTTCAGGTAGGTTAATACAGGAAAGTAAAGTCAGAGTGATTGTAGAGCCTCTGTTCTGAAGGAGGGAGCCAGAGGTACCCTGCCCTGATTGCATCCTCAGAGTCCCTTGACAGAGATCATCCACTTTGGTTGGCTTCAAAAAACAGCAACAGGAGGTATATTCCATGCGTTCATTCTCTGTCCACAGGAGGACTCTGGGCTTCCCCTTGTGTGTAATCACATGATCCAAGTCATTTTCTGCCATGCAAAAAATGATGGCAATCTCCCAGGAGTCTTCATGAAGGTCTCCCACTTTCTGCTTTGGATAAAGAAGACCATGGAGCAGTTCTAACAGCAGGCACAAGATTGGCCTCCTCTGTGCCTCATCATCCTTACTGAGCCATTAGAAAGACTGCCATGAGCCCAGGCCACTGCACAGTGACAATAAATGGATCTGAAGAATGACTGTCCCTGAAGTCCTATTTATTCCCTGAACCCCAATTAGCATGAAGCTGCACTTCTGGCCATTCTGGCTATGGTTTCCTATTTTTCCCCAACCCTCTCTCTTTCCTTACCTTCATTCCATACTCTTACTCATGGATTGCTACAGCCCATTGTGTTTAATGATCAGCTCTCCAATGTTGCTTGCAGGCCACACAGCAGAGAATCTCAGCATTAGGAGGTGTCACATTTCAAGCTGTCCCACAAATTTGTACTTCACCTTTCAATGGTAAGTCTCTGTGCTTTAGGAATTTCTGGCCATCTCCAAGCCAAGAACCTTCATGAGATGCCCAACAATTTGGCAGAGAATAGAGCAGGGCAGTGGAGAGGGATAATCCTAGAGATTCAGGAGTCAGGGCACTCACTTTCCTGTTTCAGTCCTATTCCCCAGTGGGACTAGATTCTCCCCTTTCAGTGCTGTCTGCTGCTTAGGAGGCTGAGATGGTTCTCAGGAGGACCTTGTGCCCTGCCCCAACACAGCAGAGAGTTCAGGCCACCTCCTACCTCTCTGCCTGGCTTTTCCACACCAGCCCCTGCCTCTACCTGAGTGCCTCTGGCCACCAGCTCCTTTCATTTCCAGCTCCCTGCAGAGTTCCCAACTCTATGTGGATTCACTGCTATCAGTCAGTTCCAGAAAACCTGCAACTCTCCACTTTACCTGGACAGGGCTGGCTGCACCCTGTTACAATCCAGTATTCTCCAAGGCTCAGGAATCACCTCTTGTGAAGTCAAGGCAGTCTCAGGTCTTTCAGTCTAGCCCAGCTTTGGAATCCAGTGTCCCTCTCCTGGCAGGCATGGATTGTTGCATCCTGTGAGTCAGCCCAGAGAAGCTTGACAGGAAGGATCACTTATGCCTCTATCAGCAAACACTCTTCTGATTTGTCTTTTGGTAGCAGGTATGTAATAGGCTTTGGTCTCAACTTTGGAAAACTCTCAGGCATGAGAAATTTCCTCTAAATATCTCAAACTTCTCTCCTTTCACCATGGCAAGACAATTTACCCAAATAGACTTATTTTGGGAAGCCACTAGAAATCTTACTTTGAAAAACATTAAATTCTCTGCATTCTACCGTGGTTGTTCATTACAGGGTCACATGTGTGATATTTTTGGTTCCTGAAGTGTGTGATACTGGAAGAGCTATGCAGGTGCTCATAGCCAGAGATAGCCCACGTGTGGCCACTGGAGTCTGGGTTCAGAGGTGTGGGGGGGGACAGGAGGCAGCCCAACCAGGCTAAGTTTCATCCCACAAACCTTCAAGTTGTTGTACTTCAGATGTGAGACACTTGTGACCTGCATGATCTTATTTAGGATCCCATATCACTGAAATTGCACTACTCCTGTGTGTATGTAACAAAAAATAACTCATAATAGTTATGCATCATCTAGTGATACCAACATCAAAAAAGATCTCCTCTTCTATGAGTTGAATGTGTTAAGGCAATAGTAGCAAAAAATCCCAAGGAAGATTGCATTGATTTCAAAACCTTTGAGTAACGTTCAACTAAACTTGGGAGAAAATTTTGGTGAGCTACTCTTATCACAGAAGGTTAATATTCAAATGTATAAAAATTCAAAAAAAGATAATACCGAGAAAGAATCAAACTGGGTGTGGTGGTGCATGCCTGTAATCCAAGCACTCAGAAAGCCGAGACAAGAGAATTGCTGTGAGTCTGAGGCTAGTGTAGGCTACATAGTGAGTTGAAAGCTAGCCTGAGCTATATAGCAAGACCCCATCTAAAAAAAATAAAGCAATTCAAAACAAAACAGAACAAAACACCCAGTTGGTAAGTGTGTACAGAACAGATACTTCCCCAAAAAGTACATACAAATGATGAAGAAGCACATAAAAGTGGGTTCAAAATCTTTAGAGATGAAAGAACTAAAATAAAACTACATTGAGTCCATTTCACTCCAGTTATAATGATAATGAAACCATAAATGCTTGTAAGCACTGGGTAAGAATGTAATTAGCACTGTCACCATGGAAATACATATTGTAGCTCATCCAAAAAGAAAAGTATAATATAGTGTAAAGATAATATAGGTCGAGCGTACTCTAGATGTACTTGTGCACCTATGCTTATTTCAATGCAATTCACAAGAGCTAAGCCAGAGAAATAGCCTTGGACCTCATCTGCAGATTAATGGATAAACACAATGTGGCATATATATATATATATATATATATATATATATATATACACACTGGAGTGTCACTGAGGTACAATGCCATTAGAAATGATTTCCTGAAACTGGAGAGCATCATGTAAAGGAAAATAAGTCAAAGTCAGAATGACAAATATAAATATCTTAAATGTGTAAAATAAATAAGATGACATGAAAGTAGAGGAGAGATGATTAAAGAAGAATATAGATGAGGGGAAGGGGATTTAGTGGAGGAGGGAAATATTCAAAGTATTCTACATGCATGTGCCCATGCAAGATAATACATGCAATAATAAAATGATAGGTGTATCTCTGTTCATAGTGATAAGTTGCAGGGTGGGATTAAGGCTGACATGTCTCTTCTTTATCTTTGAATTTATCCTATATTGCTAACTTTATAATTATTAAACTTCTTAAAAATACTTTGTCAAAAAATGCATTAAGTAAGATGATACGTGTTAATATACTGCTACATTCTGTCAGCGATCAATGTTTACAGATGAAATTTAAATCACTAGTTTATAATGTTCCCCCATATTCTAAAATGAGTGTTTCTGATGAGATTTCCCCTTTCACTCTCAATTATTCTGCTTTATGCAATAAATTACACAGTAATCCATGATTAAGGGATGGAGGCTCAGTTCCCCAAAAGATGGTTTCCAAGTTTCCCAATTTATCTGCTACAGGGCTTGTTGGGTTGAGGTGAGTCTGTAAGATCTGCCATGGGAGAATGCCATAGTTAAAGTCTGGAAGGTACCTGTATCCTTTCTACTGGCAGCCATGACCTACAAGTGTCTCACAACACACCCAACCTCAAAGGAGGCCTGACAGGGCTGCACCTGCCTGAGAGAGTTTGGACACTGTAGACATGTAGTTTACCTGTGCCCCTTGGAAGAAAAGGAAATGATTTTTCTAAACTTCTAGCTTTTCTCTGTCACAATGGTGCATAGTATTTGTCATTTATAAAGATGATGGGCCCTCCTTTTTTTTTTTTATGAAGTGAATGCATTTCCGTTTTAGAAAATTTAGATAATGTAAAGGTTAAAATGAGACACAAATTCTTGTATATGTTTCCCATTCACCCGACACACACACACACACACACACACACACACACACACACACACAATGAAGTTATACACATTGTATTGCAGTGTACATTTTCCTCCCAACATGAAAGGTTACAAATTTCTCCAGGCCTTTAAATAGCCTTCTAAAACACCACTTTTACATTATCACATGAATGTATCATCATCTATATTTCTCTTCTAATGTTGAGTTTTTGGATTATCTAAGCATTTTGACAAGAAGGTCTCAGGGTATAAGTTCACCTCATCTTCCTTTTTCATGATACAGCAAGGCTTTCTCTAGGGCGCAAATGATGAGCAGGCAGAACTAGTGGTTTGGAAAATTCCAAAGCAGCAGTGAGAATAAAAGCCAAGCAATTGGACTATGGACTTGAACCAATGAGAGCAGAGGCTTATTGGACCTCAGAACTCGGACCTCAGAAATTTGACCTCCACTTTGGAACTCTGCCTTAGAGGGCAGTCACTTCTGCACCTGCCCTCATATCCTCAGACCTCAGACCTCCACCTCAGACCCCGAACACTTTTGTGCCTGTCCTCCGACCCTGAGAACCTGGACCTACATTTCGGAGAATTGTCACCTCTGTGCCTGTCCTCCCACCCTCAGAACCTGGAACTACATCTCGGAGAGCAGTCACCTCTGTGCCTCTCCTCCCACCTTTGAGAACACCTTCTGATCCCAGGGTGGCTGTTGACCTTTAGCTGCATTTCCTCCTCCCAGAACCTTGGACTTCAGTGGATTAGCCTTGCTGAGTTAATGAGAGACTCAGTAATCAAAAAGAGGACCTCATCAGGTTTGCACCAGTATGGTAACTTTGCCTCTGAATTAGAGGCCTTCAGATCTTCCATGGAAAAGATCATGAATACCTACTTTGAAAATCTTTACTCATATAGTATTGAAAATACAGAGGAAATGGGATGGTTTAAAGAAACAAATGAACTAAAAAAGCTCAATCAAGATTTCAATAACCCAATATCCGCTTTTGAATTTGAAAATGTGATTAAAAACTTACCAACAAAAAAGTCTATGTCCTGATTGATTCATGGCTCAATTCTACAAGAAATTTAGAGAAGATTTAAGGCTAAAAATCCTCAAATGCTTTAATAAAATTGAAAGGGAAGCAATTCTCACTACCTAATTCTGGGAGGTAATTATTACTCTGACACCAAAACTAGAGAAAGAGTCAACCAAAAAGAACTATAGTCAAGTCTCTCTAATAAACATTGATGCAACAATTTTCAATAAAACACAGGGCAAATAGAATGAAGCAAATCATCAAGAAGAGTATACATCCTGACCAAGAGGGGTTTGTCCTAGGAATGCAGGGATGGTTTAACATATGCAAGTCAATAAATGTAATACACCACATCAACAGAGCCAAAAACAAAATTAAATGACTATCTCAATAGAGGCAGAAAAACCTTTCAATAATTCCAACACTTGTTCATGATTTAAAAAAAAAAAAAAAAAAACAGAAACTCAGAAGGGATGGTGTCTTCATCAATCTGAAAAGGGCCATCTATGAAAAACCAGCAGCCAACATTATTCTAAATGGAGAAAAACTGAAAGCTTTTACTCTAAAAATAGGAACAAGACAAGGCTGTCCATTGTCACCACTCCTATTCAAAATAGTAATGGAAATACTAGTCAGGACCATCACACAATTGAGAGAAACTAAAAGGAATATAGATAGGAAGTGAAGAAGTTAAATTATCACTATTTGCAGAAAACATGATACTCTACATAGAAGACCCAAAGAACTCCATTAAAAGACT